TACCAAAATTTTTCGGGGCACTTTAGTGGGGCCAAACCCCATGCCAAGGTGGGTGGGGGGGGGGGGGGGGGTTGGGTGGGGGGGGGGGGGGGTGGGGGGGGGGGGGGAGTCTTTGGAAAATTGGGTACCTAATGTTACATCCACAGAGAAAGGGTGTTAAATAGGTCAAAACATTATCTGTCTTTTTACTTTGTAAGTGAAAGACTATCTATAGTTGTGTTCAGTAAGAATGTTACTTTATTACAAAAAATGATTTCTTTTCTTCTTAAATCAAATGGTGAATGTGCCAGGTGCATGTCAAAAGAAGTCAAAATTAAGCTTAGGAATAAAATTCAAGACAATTTATGAACATTATATTCCAAAATTATTGAGATGCAAATTACTTTTTAAAAGAATGCAATTTTGAAGTGTATCAAAATTGATACGAATGTACAATGGATATATGTGTAGCAGTTAGTGTTTAACCAGAAACAATTAATTACTAAAAAAAAAAAGAAAAAAAAAAAAGAATCTATCATTTCCTTGTCTACTCTCAGTGAACACGCAGGATTTCACCCGCATCAAGATATAACTTAAGCAGCTGCAGTCTGTGATTTACATAAAATATAAGCTGAATATTTAAAAAATTACCAAAAATTATTATAATCTGTTTTAAATCTTTCTTATCATATTTATTTTTCTTTAAAACCAACCATGTTGGTTATCAATTGTCAGATATTTCCAGTTTTATTCGTGCTGTTTTATCTTATATCAACATTATCTAATCAAATAGATAACATTCCAAAATTGTTAGGTGTTGAAAGAAATAGGTTCTATTGACTTTTGCATTTTAAAAACACAGGTGTTTTATACTTACAGACAAAAATGAGATAAACTTGGAATTTCTTCAGGTGTTACACTCTTATCTTTTTTCATTTATAAGAATACATTTAGCTGTATATTTTTCAGAGATGTTAGTCCTAAATATCAAAGAATAACAAAGCGGGCTAATGTTGACATTTGAAACTTATCTTCATTTCAAAATGATACTGTAGCCTCATATGGTTTCAAGATAATTAAGTATAAGATGTCAAAACCAAGTAATCATACTCACCCCTCGTTTACGGTCTTGTGAACGTGATGAGAGATTCATTTTTATACCTACATATGTGTAGGAATCGCTGGGACACAAACACACACACCCCTCTGATACAGCTGCCCTAATATGCAGTGTATCTATGCCTGGTATGCAGGATGGATGTACCTCACCAAGTGTAGATAAACCACAGGGCTGACATAGTAAACTTTGAACTCTGTACAGTCATTTGAATGAGATTAATGCCCCCTATTTTGTTTATGCCCCTCTGGTCACCCTTATTGTTTTATGGGTAGCATCTACTGAAGAGGCCAAGTCTAAGTTATGCAGAATGTGTAAAGTTTGTGAGTTTTGCTCATGTTTATGCTAATGGTATAGACAAATCCATAGTAACTAGTTTTGTTGGTGTCCTGGTTTATAACTTGTGTATGACACTGTGGAATAGATAAGAGTGAGTTATACATGTGAGGACAAGTTAAAAGGTATAAATCCAGCTTAAAATTTTTATAGCATTTTGATAGTACAGATATGGTAAAAGAAGAAATCTTATCAAGTAGTTAAACTATAAAAAAAGAATTGCTTTAGATGATAAGATTTGTTTGTTCATAAAATGACTTCAAATTGTACTAACAGCGTGGGCACTGGGGGTTCTTGTGGTTTAACCAACCCATTATGTTTTTTAAGAAATCCACCTCATAGGTCGTCATGCTTTAAAATATACTTTATGAAAATTTGAACCTCCAAAAGGTGGTCATGCTTTAAGCTGTTCTTTTTAAAAATCTGAGAAACGGGTAATATTTGGTTGATATGATCAACTGTGTTGTGTCAAATCTACATGTTGCAGGCAATCTAATTTAAGTGCTGAAATTTTCAGAAAAAGTCAATTTTTCCTGATTTATACCGAAAAAGCACTTTGTCCAAGAACAATGATTTATTTATTCATCTTTCTTTCAGATATGAATTCCAGTGTTCAATACGGGGTGTGATATGTGAGGCCACCATGGCTTCTGTTAAGGACAACACACCTGGCCTGGGTAAGACTGATCTGAAACTGGTCACTCCAGCAGTGACCAGGGGGGGCATCACACACATAGATGATGTGGGTCATGGAAAAGTGCATGATGAGGAGCATCATGAGGATGAATTCAAAATTAGCCAAAAAGTAAGTGTTTTAGGTACAAATTGACTACTGGTGAGATAAAAGATCGTTAGAAATTTCCTTTTACCAATGTATGAAAATGTGATACTCTGACCACTATATTTACCAGGCTTGACAGCCATTTGCTGTTATCAACAATATAATGATCAGAAGAACATTAATGATTAGTCAGTTGAGTTGCAAGCACAAAATTTAAACTTGTTCATAAAGTGTCTTTATTGTACTTGGTATGCATTATTCATAACCTTCAGTTGTTTATCTGTTCTAATGGCACAATTTTTCAGGTGTCAAATAAGTATAAAATTTTCACCTCCTTGACTGCGGGTGCTGTTGCTGGTGCTGTTGCCAAGACAACCATAGCCCCTTTGGACAGGACAAAAATAAATTTTCAAAGTTAGTTGCTTTGTGATATTGTTTTGCCTTCAAAGAATCTATAATCTCTCTCTCTCTCTCTCTCTCTCTCTCTCTCTCTCT